TTGATCAGGAACAAATTAAACATGAATAACTGAGCAAGCCAAATGTAATCTACCAAATAATATGATATAGCCTACATTAATCAACTGCATCTGAAGGTAAAAGTTCGTTGCTAAATCAAAAAATAGAATTCCAAACCATTAATATAAAGAGGAGGGGAATTACCCTAAAGATTTTAGTACAGTCATGATACAAACCAAACCTGTTATATGCAGTGTGAGCAATAGAGAGACACATAATTTGTTTATTCTAGTGGAGGCCTGATACTAACCAGAGAGCAGAAGATAAAGCATTCCATGATTTGATCTTGTCACTGGGCTAGTTTGCATATATCTTCATACTCAACAGACTTGAGAACCCTCCCATCATATATTCCTTCTCAATCTGAACCTTGGCGCAAAATTTGTCAGTATCGACTGCGAGCAACCTTGCATTTGATCCTCGATATGCCCCATTAACTATCTTTACAAGGCCCCCAATTTGCGGAATCATTGTCTCGAGCTCCTCCTGATCAACCCTCAGTACAAGCTTACTCTCAAGCATCTCAATCTCGCCAACGTACTTTTTGGAGAGATGAATGAATTTTTGAGATTGAGAGCGGGAAGGAGACTAAAGTCGTGTGATTTAGTGAATGTTTAGTAGTTTGGGTTACAATTTGGCCTCCAAAGTTGGGCTAGTCTGATATAAAATAAATATTTTGGGCAAAAAAATGAGGCCCCCTCCACGTTTGGGCCTGAGGTGGCGGTCTCATTTGCCTCGCCTCAGGGCCGGGCCTGGGTTTGGAGTTAATTACGTTCGATTCTTGTAAGTTGTAACTCTTGAATATTTTATTGTGTTTTCTCTTGGAATATTCAAATATTAGATCCTTCTTTCATCACCCAACACATGCTTCTTCTAGATCATTCTCCTATTTGTTATGTCGTTAATTTGTTAGAAATTTACTTTATGAATGGAGCAATGTATTCACATTATTACTTGAGCTTGATGATTAATAAAATCTTCTTCTTCTCAAGTTTCTTCAATATGTTTTCATATTGAACCAATCATTTGATTTCTTAATATAGTATCAGAGCTAAATGCTCCTTCCGTCTGCGTTAATATCTAATCCATTAGAAAGCAATTTCGCTAGCTCTTCCACCTTGAACAGTTCATTTCTGGAAAGGAAGATGCCGCCAACAATTTCGCCAGAGGCCATTATACAGTGGGGAAAGAGATTGTTGTTGTATGATTGGACGGAGTCAAGAAGTTGGCTGATAATTGCACAGGTTTGCAAGGATTTTTGGTGTCCAATGATGTTGGTGGTGGTACTGGTTTTGGATTGGGTTCTTTTCTTTTGGAACTTTTGTCCTAAAAGCTAGGCTTCACCATCTATCCTTCTCCACAGGTGTCAACTACTGTTGTGGAGCCTTACAACAGTGTTCTCTCAACTCATTCCCTTCTTGAACACACGGATGTAGCAGTGCTACTGGACAATGAAGAAATTTATGATGTTTTATCTTCAGCAAATACCCGATTTCAGAGCCATGGATGCTCACTAATTCCGGTTGAATTATGTTGCTGTTTTTTTCTGGATTGCATCTCTGCTCTTCTCTCTACAATTCAAGATGTTCCATCTTGAAGGGGGAGTCTTGGAATATTCCAATATTAGATCCTTCTTCTAAATCCTTCTTCCATCACCCAACACACGCTTTTTCTAGATCATTCTCCTATTTGCTATGTAGTTAATTTGTTAGAAATTTACTCTATAAATAGAGCAATATATTCACAATATTACTTGAGTTTTTGATGAATAATAAGTGTTCTTTCTTCATATCCTCTTCATCAAGTTCCTTCAATATAATTTCTATATTGAATATAGCCTTTTATTTTCTTAATGTGGTATCAGAACAGACTCAGTTTTGCAATGTAGGATGCACCAAATATCGATTTGTTCACAGTTGTTTGGTATAGTCCACGCTGTGCGGGAGGGGGCGTATTAGAGTCTCACATTGGCTGGTGATATTTACATGATCCATTTAATAAGGTGAGGACAATCCTCCGCTAACAAGCCGGTTTTGTTAGATTGAGTTAGGCCCAATATATCCTTTTTGTAAATCCTTCTTCCATCACCCAACACATGCTTCTTCTAGATCCTTCTCATATTTGTTATGTAGTTAGTTTGTTAGAAATTTACTCTATAAAATATAAATAGAGTAATGTATTCACATTATTACTTGAGCTTGATGATTAATAAATGTTTTTCTTCTCAAGTTCCTTCAATATATTTTCATATTGAATCTATCCTTTGATTTCTTAATATTTTCTTTGTTTTGATTTTTTTTTTTTAAGTGAATAATCTGCTGTTTCTAATTAATGAATATTTTAATGGGTTTTGTAGTTCTGTTAATAATGTGATTTAGAATAGCTGAAATGCATCTTATTAATTCTTGATTACTGTTAATGATTCTTGGTTTTTCCAATTTTTTTCTTATTTCACACAGATGAAATTGAATTTTAATTTGCTATACAGTGAAGGATTACCTCGTCTTTAGCTTTTCACTTATTCTCTTTTAAGTCAAAATTCACTTGAACAAATCACAACATGAATCTTTGTTGGTAAAAATTTAGTCACTGCAATATAATTGGTTGTACTTTTGTAGTATAAATTATAAACATGAGGCTATTGTTTTGAGGACGAATAAAATATTAAGACCGGCCTATATGCTTGTTGAGGGTGATGATTCTAGTATTTTTTTTTTCTTGCTAATTTTCTTTTGTCGACCAATCTAACCATGTTGACATTTGTCTTTAATTGCCTTTCTTTCCAGTTTTTGATGCAATTTCCTATCCAATTTGCATCTTAATTATGAATTTATGTGTCCTTGATAATTCTGTTATTTTACAGAAACACTTCTCTTATATGTTTAAGCAATAGATTTCCAGCAATATACCAGAAAGCCCATGTTTACATCTTTAGGATCTTATAATGAGGTGGACTGCAGATTTAAAACGCAAAACAATTTATTTATTTTATTTTTATTTTTTTTGTACATATTCTTGGCAAGAGAAGTTTTTAGCAAATCTGTAGAACTGGAAAAATTACTTGCGAAAGTTACTTATTGGTTTCCCTTTTCCTGGATGTCTTGATGCATCAATTTGTCTGCATCACAATTGTTGTTTCTGGCCAAATTAGCTTGCTCTGAATTTTGTAACTTTTTATCTAATTTTGAGCCAAGATTATTTTTTTTTTTTTGTTTTCCTGGTGCTGCTACATGTCTCACTGATAATTAGGAGATAGTCTCACATATTGTTGATGAGTATTCCATGTTGGCTCATTTGGTTGTCTTTTATAATTCGACTTGCCAACAATTCCTACAACAAATTCCATATCTGAAAATTTATTATTTTATTCGCACAAAAAGAACGAGAAAATCATGTGTTCATATAATAGTATCAAAATTAACCTGGACGAAATTTTTATTGTAAGGTTCTGGAAGGGTAGACTACTTAAAAGAAATGAAATCTGTTTCCAAGCTATATAAGTAAAACCTGTAGCTACATTCGAAGAAAGGAGGTCTTGCTTGAGCCAGATTGCTTGCAGGCCCATGATAGTTCCATCAAGCCAAGAGATTGTTTTTGTTAAAGTTCCTTATTTTTATTCCGTCGAGCCAAGAGGTGCTCCATATGAAACAAGTATATTATTTCAGTTTATTATTCATAAGCATGAGGTCACACAAAAAATGTTGATTTTTTACAGGAATCGAAATGAAATTTTCCCATTCTTCTCGTTCTTTCAGGTCTTCAATAAAAATTCACGATCTCTTTTCCTCCTCTTATAGGTATTATTCTATGTGTGAGCATGTAGAGAAACTGGCAGAAGAGATAAAGGAAGGGGCTGCATCTGTTGAAGGAGTTGAAGCTAAAATATGGCAGGTAGCGAAAATCTTTGCCATCAGAGACCTTGAATAAATTACTTAATAAGGAAACACTAGAAAAGCTGAGGAAAGCATTTAGTCCTGTTAACATTGTCATTGAGTGAATCTTGAGTTGCATATACAAAATCTATATGTCCTGTTGTTATCAAATCTGCAAATTGGATCTATGTCCAATTGGTATGTTGGATTTCATTGAAGAGAAATCAAAGGCAATTATCTTCCCATGTACAAATTGAATTAAATTTCTACCTATGTAGACATTGAAGAAATGAAGAGGAACATCCTGAAAAATAAACTTGTTCAATATACAAATATAAATAAAAAAATGCATTCCTTCCTTGAGCTTTTAGATTATGTGGTATCAGAGCACGTAAATGTTCTGATTTGAGGTCCTGCTAACTTATTTATGCAAATTCAGAGTGTCAGGCCTTTGAAAGTAAAATCATACCTTTTTCCTGTGAGGGGTATGTTGAAGATACAAATATAAATTAAAAAATTAATGCCTCTCTAAAAAATTTATGTTTTCAGCTTAGGTGGTTCAATAAAACCTAATAGAATGAGTTAAGAAAGAAAAAATGTATTTTTGTAGGTTACCATGAGCAAAGCATTCATGTATGGATTAGTTATTTTAACTTGCCTTCTAACTAATTTGGCTGTGTGAAGCTGTAAGTTTCATAATGAGATGATTAGAATGGAAAATCAGTGAAATCAGCCTATACGTGGTTTCTCATACCCAAATCCCACATCGTTAGGGTGCTTGTGTATATATATACATTAAAACATGGTGCTTCTCAGTGTAGCACTGTATTTATTCTTACTGTATCTTTCACTATGTCGGAAAACATACGTGATTGCACATTTGCCTTGATAAGTTCTTTCAGCAGGAGTTATTTTCATTTAGAATTTTGCTGTATAGATCTCCCATTTCATCTGTTACCTGTAGCTACTGTATCTGCAAATTCTATAAAATTGATTATTCAGGCTTCTTCACTTACCACCTACTGCAGAAATGCATGCCAGGCAACATTTAATTTCAGAATTCTTTTTTCTTCTTTACTCTCCCGTTAATGTTTGATGCCTTTTTTCCTTTTTCCACATTGAGTAATGAACTGGGACCATAAATTATGGAAATATATGCCATATGGTTCTCTTAGAATTATGAAAACCAATATATGGATGTCATTACATTGAGACTAATTTCTCCGTGGATTCAGTAGTGAAACACTCTAGCACAATAGATGGGCTGATAACCCTTTCCCCTTCTTTCATTCAATAGTTCTCATTGAAACTAGTATGAATTTCTTGATATTGATTTCCAGTGTATCCTAAAGAAAATTACCTTAATGCTCTGCCACTTATGTTTTCCATGAGGCACAGGTCCCTGAGACATTACCAGATGAGGTGCTAAAGAAAATGAGTGCACCTCAAAAGAGTGATGTTCCTATCATCACACCTAGTGAACTTCCTGAGGCTGATGGATTTGTATTTGGCTTTCCCATAAGGTTTGGTATGATGGCTGCCCAATTCAAAGCATTTCTTGATGCAATTGGAGGCCTTTGGAGAACACATCACCTTGCTGGGAACCTGCTGGGATCTTCTATAGCACTGGGTCTCAAGGCAGTGGACAAGAAGNATGTTGAAGATACAAATATAAATTAAAAAATTAATGCCTCTCTAAAAAATTTATGTTTTCAGCTTAGGTGGTTCAATAAAACCTAATAGAATGAGTTAAGAAAGAAAAAATGTATTTTTGTAGGTTACCATGAGCAAAGCATTCATGTATGGATTAGTTATTTTAACTTGCCTTCTAACTAATTTGGCTGTGTGAAGCTGTAAGTTTCATAATGAGATGATTAGAATGGAAAATCAGTGAAATCAGCCTATACGTGGTTTCTCATACCCAAATCCCACATCGTTAGGGTGCTTGTGTATATATATACATTAAAACATGGTGCTTCTCAGTGTAGCACTGTATTTATTCTTACTGTATCTTTCACTATGTCGGAAAACATACGTGATTGCACATTTGCCTTGATAAGTTCTTTCAGCAGGAGTTATTTTCATTTAGAATTTTGCTGTATAGATCTCCCATTTCATCTGTTACCTGTAGCTACTGTATCTGCAAATTCTATAAAATTGATTATTCAGGCTTCTTCACTTACCACCTACTGCAGAAATGCATGCCAGGCAACATTTAATTTCAGAATTCTTTTTTCTTCTTTACTCTCCTGTTAATGTTTGATGCCTTTTTTCCTTTTTCCACATTGAGTAATGAACTGGGACCATAAATTATGGAAATATATGCCATATGGTTCTCTTAGAATTATGAAAACCAATATATGGATGTCATTACATTGAGACTAATTTCTCCGTGGATTCAGTAGTGAAACACTCTAGCACAATAGATGGGCTGATAACCCTTTCCCCTTCTTTCATTCAATAGTTCTCATTGAAACTAGTATGAATTTCTTGATATTGATTTCCAGTGTATCCTAAAGAAAATTACCTTAATGCTCTGCCACTTATGTTTTCCATGAGGCACAGGTCCCTGGGACATTACCAGATGAGGTGCTAAAGAAAATGAGTGCTCCTCAAAAGAGTGATGTTCCTATCATCACACCTAGTGAACTTCCTGAGGCTGATGGATTTGTATTTGGCTTTCCCATAAGGTTTGGTATGATGGCTGCCCAATTCAAAGCATTTCTTGATGCAATTGGAGGCCTTTGGAGAACACATCACCTTGCTGGGAACCTGCTGGGATCTTCTATAGCACTGGGTCTCAAGGCAGTGGACAAGAAGCTACTGCATAAATCCTAATTTTCCGGAAGCAAAAACCATGTTGATAACTCTGTTTCATTGAGTTCTTACAGGTTGACTGCTATCACTCAGCTGGTTCACCACGGAATGATATTTGTGCGCATTGGATACATTTTTGGAGCTGACATGTTTGGGATGGAGAAAGTTAAAGGAGGAAGTCCTAATGGTGTTGGAACTTTTGCTGGTGATGGTTCGGGACAGCTATCCAAGCTTGAAGTAGAAAAGGCTTTTCACCGAGGGAAGTACATTGCCATCATCACCAAGAAAATGAACGGGGCTGCCTGATATCTTCCTGATACAAAAATACAGCTTCTACTCTTACAATTTTTTCTTTCTGCAGTAGAATTTTCTACACAATCAGATTGGTACATGAATTTGGCTTGTATTATGTTTGTTTTGATTGATTGATTTTATGATTGTTCATTTTGATGGTCCTCCAAATTTTCTATGAGTATGTTAACCTAATAGAAGAATCAATAACATGTATTGTTAAGGTTCTGATTGATTATCATAGGAACTAGTCTTTCACCCGTGCGATGCACTGTGGATGCACAAATTATAAATTTCATAACTCACACGGACAGCTATAATATAAAATGTTAGATATTTTTCATCATTTTGCATGTGCCATCTTTTGTTTTGCAAATGTTTTGCCGCCCCGACTAGTGTTTGCCGCTACGCAACGAGGATCGACTTGTCCGGTCAGGTCGTGGGGGCAGCACCCCCCGTGGGTTACCCCAGAAAGAGAATTTTATTTTTCAGAAGTCTTTGAATATGTATGTTTCTTCTAACAGATGTTTTCATTCATTTCAAGGGACACACCTATTCAAAAGGTTGCCTCCATTTCTATATATTTTGGGCGAATTCTCATTTGCAAAACACATTAAAAATTCGTTATTTTCTATTCTTCTCTCTTTTCTCTTGGCATCATCAGTTTCATTATAGAGTATTTTCTTGGTTTGATCAAATAGTCACAGTTTGAATCAAACGCCTCAATTGTATTCTGAGAGAGATTTTCTATCATACCCCGGTCATGACTTTGTTGGAAAGTGGAGAAACATCTCTTAAAAGATAACGATTTTCGTGCCTTGGAGTTTATTAGTTTTTTCCAGATTTTCTTACATATTTCCCAACATAAACTACACAAATATTTAATTGGGTACAAACTGTAAAAACATTTAACTGGGAGTTAGGAAATATTCATTAAAAGTAACATCTTAATTGGGTACAAACTTTAAAAATATTTAACTGGGAGTTAGGAAATATTCATTAAAAGTAACATTGANTGAAATTCTCTATTGAATTCACTTAAATTTGAAGCATTTTATGTACTTCAGCACTTAAAACTCCACAATTAGGCCTGAAACAACATAGTATTAGAATATATTAATATTGTTAGTACGAAAGTAAATGGAAAAATAAATTTAATACCATGGTGATTATCATAAGAATTATCAAGTCATTTTGTATTGATTATAATTTTCTTCTTTGAGTGCGTTTATGTTGCCTAGTTAATAAACAATCATTAATAATCTACTTAAGTCCACAGTGAGAGTGTAGTATGTTGGTTGATGTTCACATTGAATTGTTATTTGCTGACATCCATGCTAACATGATAGAAACACCATTACATGACTTGGCCAAAAAAAATAAAAATAAATTGTTTAGGGAATCATGTCAAGTACTATGTATCAAATATATGCTCTTCGTATTACTACATATTCCAGCTCGTGTATTTTACTCCTATTTGTCGAGTATGGTGTTTAGTGAGTGAACCTAGATTTTATTTACTTTGTTTTAATCGAAACACCACATGGGCGAGTGACTTGGTGAGAGATTGTCGCATGATTATCAACTGCCGTTAAATCGAGTAAATTGTAAGTCTTTATCTTTAGCATATGTAAATGATAATCAAACTGCATCTATGTGAAATAATTTCATGTGATCAGCGAATATATCATGAGCAAAAGATGCCAAATTCTTTTTGTGATAATCTATGCTTATGAGTAAAGATAAGTAAAAAGAAGACGTGTAAATTCAGGGTACTTGATGATTCGCATATGCCTCCATCAGATGATAAGCTACTATCATTCCATGTCCCTGATTATATTTTTTGAGTCTTGCAGGAAAATAATGTGCTAGGATGCACATAAACAAATATAGTGCTAAATAATGCACTTGCGTAGAGGACTTACGAAGCATGGATACTTATAGCGGAGTGTCTACCGTTTGATTACATGTTAAGACATTCATAATCATACTCGAATAATTTGAAAATACCCTATTTCATAAGGTGAACACACTTTTTATTTACACAATTTGTAAGACCCACAATTATTGCTAACATATTATGTACACAATCTATAAGATCTACAATTTATAAGTAGTTTCAATCGTATCCTAGTATGAAAAATAGACAATATTTTTGCTAAAGTGTCAAATTTCATATACATTTGCACTATCATAGTCGTTATGTATAGGAGTTTAGATTGTTGACGTTGGTGAGTGTAGGAGGAACAGCTTGATATACTTCATGGCTATTATTAATGATCGTCGTCTCGATATGTTTGCTTGGCACGTAACACTTACTCCTTAGTCCGTCCATGTAAATTTCAATTGAGCCGCGTGGGTCCCACTTAAGATATAGGTATAACAAAGCTTTGCTGATTCAAAGCACAAAGAGATGAGCTCATGCTTCTCTTTACCATCCAATGGAAGCATTTCAACGTGACCATTCGATAAAAAGCACAAAACCATGGTTGATAGTTCCTGCTCCCATATCCTCCCCTTTGTTATTCAAAAATAGGTAAAATAAGAAACAAGAAATTAACCCTCTAGAGGTGGGGTTAGGGTGGGACATGGGCCAACCCCTCACTTCCACTAACATATTCCAGACATATAAACAATTGAAAAGTGAGATTTCTAATCAAATGATCACACAACACACTCACTTCTGTTCTGGAATTCAATTATTCCTTCATTCCTTTACAACTAAAGTAAATGCCAGCTCTATGCACGAAACAGATGCAGAAACAAAAGCTTCTTTATCAACAAAATTCAGCTACAGACAACAAATTCCTTCTAAACTAACACCAACACTTTCTCTAGTTTTAGTACCTCTACTCATTATTCTAACCAATCTTTAATAATAATTCTTCAATTATTACAGTGCTATTAATTAATTTGCCCAAAGATCATTTCCTAATCTTCTATAGGGTTTGATATTATATATCTTGTTGTTTGCTTTATCATCTTGTGCTTCTTTATCTGAAAGTCCCTCCAAATGTAGGATTCCAAAAATCGACTGTTGTTTCATGTGTGACGGGGAAAGTGCTGGAAACTGGTGCTAAACATAGTCCTCGACTTTTAAGATCCTGCGCCCGCCCTTGATCTGAATCATTGGATATATCCGAGTTCTACAGAATGTATAAGAAAAATTTTCAAGAACGGATAGGCTTAATTGAATAACTGGTAACAAAGATCAGATGAAATTGAATACCTGCTGGTGCTGTATGGAAGCTCCACTTTTCATATATGGGGTACTTAACATCTGAATATGTATATAAGAACACATATTTAGAACAACAAATTACTTATTATACATAATTTAATGTGGTTAATAAGTTGTATGATATATACTTACCTTGACTTGATCATGGAGAAACTTTATATATTCGATAGCTTCAGAAAGCACGGATGCTGTATCGGTCTGAGAAATGAAATTTTTTTTTAATCAATAAGCAAAAATTATCTTATCTTTGAGAAAAAGAGAAGAAAATTTTCTTAAGTTACCTTTCCAAAAGGTGAAACTAATTGTTGAAGTGCAGTGACTCTGTCCCCCATCTTCTCTTTCCTTACCTAATCAAAAGCAAAACAAGGCTACAAGTTGTTATGAATGAAAAGAAAAAGTGATATTTAAAGCAATATCTTGTTCAAAACCTTATTATGCATACCTTAAAAGCTGGTAAAGGTGATGGTGTTTCGTTCCGAGGTCTCTTATTTGATGTTTCCGTCATGTTTTTCTTGGCTATCGTACTGACAGCCCGAGGTCCCATTGTGATCTTGCGAAAAATAGAAACAATTTTTAGCATTTAAAGAAAAATGAAAGGGAAACCCTAGATGAGCAGCCTATGCAGGCATATAGTTAGACACCATATTAATTACCTTTGGTTTTTCATCAAAGGGCAGCATCGGAAGTTGCGGTTGTAAGGATGGGAAGAAGCTTGGTCGAACGTCATTCATGGCGGCCGCAGATGCATTCCAAAAAGGAGTGTTGTTAGTGAAGTGTAGGTGACCAGCTGGCGGTTGTTTTGGTGCAGATGCTCTCAAAAACGGCGGAAATTTAGATGACGGAGGAAATAATACGCCCGTGCTGGCCCCAAAGCTAGTTGGGTATGGTCCTGGTCCCTGATAATTCATTGCCGGATTTTCATAAGTGGATTGATGTAGTTGATTATCGGATAATAACAATCCATAGGAGGCAGAATCCATCTGGAAACTCGCCGTTAAGCCCTGTGATATTGTTCCTCCGGTGTCGTTAGAGTTCATTTGAGAGCTGTATTCCGGCTGGTCTAAAGAAAAACCCCGGTTAATCTGCTTAAAAGCATTCATAATTGAAGAATCCTCAGCACTGCCGGAATATATTTTCTGCCCGGTCCACTGGTCTTGAGAAGATGCTGCACTAGCTTCTTGCTGAAAATTCGTATCTTCTTGAAGCATAGCCTTTTCACTTCTACTGTCCCAATTCACCCCAAAAAAATAATCTAAATACCAGTTTTAAATTTCCGTGCAAGAGGGAAAAAAACACCTAGAAATTAAAGAATTCATAAGACTACTTACAGTAGAGAGTGATTCCAATCCATTCCTTGAGAAGAAAGGCCTAATCCCATCATTTGTAAATTGGGATCCCGCTCTTGCAACTTGTTAGAAAATGGAAAAACTGATGAAGTATCCATAGAAGACCTTGGTTTGATCTCGGAGATTTCTGTCGGCCATTCAAAGGTTGATGTGTTGTTGTTATTTAACGTTGGAGAAATCGAAGATTGTGTTGATGAAGTAGTAACGAATCTGCTTGTTGATGTATCCCACCAGTTACCAGTACTGCCTAGTTGAAATTCATCCGCCATGGCTGCTGCTGTTGCTAAAAAGCTCAACTCCTTTATTCTTTCAATTACTTGATTAATTTCTATCTTTTTGAGTTGGATGCTTATGCTTCAAGCCTCTCTCTCTCTCTTTCTCTAGCTTTGATGTTCTTGGCTTGAATTTATAAAATGAAATGAAACCGATTCGCAGCATCTGGATATTTATACTATCAAGCAAAGGAATAAATGGCCGAAATTTGGTTGACTTGTGCCAAGACTGATTAGACAAACGAAAGGAAAGTCACATTTTATTTGAGTAATGCTACTTGCAGTCGCTCACTGCAGCAGTCGTCCTACGTGGCACACACATGACATATAGTTATTTGATGCATTAATGTGGTAATTTTTTACTACATTTAATGCATCAAATACACACTTAAAATGTGTGTGCTACATAGGGCGAATGCTGCAGTGAGCGACTGTAAGTAGCATTATTCATTTTATTTTGACAGTTTTTGGTATATAAATATTTTTTGCGAATTCTCTTGATGCTTTATTGCATTAGAGGCTAATAAAGTGGCCCACAAACTCGACATTTTTTCTTGTATGGGTATTCTAAACAATTTAGTTTAAGCTCATGTTTGGTACGTATTCTTTCAAAACTCATTTTCAACCACACATTTTTCAATAAAATAATATTTTTCGTCACATCAATAATTTTTCATACTTTTTAACCACATATTTCAAATCATATCAGTATTTAAAATACATTTTTTCTTCAATAATATCCATCAAACATACCCTAAAACAAAGTTTAGCTTTTATAATTTAAACCCGAAGACTCGATAGATATTATTTTTAAACAAAACAAGCTATAAAAAGTTGGGTTTTCTTTTTTTTCCTTATCTTAATCCAACTATTAATTTGTAAATAATTCGACTTTTTGAGTTCTTATAATTGAGAAGAAAAAAAAGGTACACGTTGACATCCACGAAAACTAATCTGTTTGCATAATCTAAGATATCCAATTGTCTCATGCAAATTAAATTAAAGCTTTAGGATTCAATTATTTTTGGCATATCATTAGTTATTTGGAATGGTGGGTTACTTTTTGTCACATATGTGGATTCTCTAGTGTTTATCACAAGAAAATATTTGAAAAAGTGATACTATAATTTCCGCAATGAAAGGTACTATTATTAGAGAGTTGGTGAACGTTTTTATTCTCGTTCCACAACAATAAATTAAATTCTATTTCTAGTAAATTTAAAATGTTAATACAACTAGATCCTCGTTGCCAAAATAAATAATTCAATTGAAATTGAAATTGAGATGAAAAATGTTCATGTCTATGTATGAATCCTTTGAAAAATGTTTATAGCAAGAAAAATATTTGAAAAATGTGATTATATAATTTTCACGACAAATGGTAATTTTTACTAAAGTTGGTGAATCTTTTTATGAAACAATAACAAAATTATTCTTATTCTCATCCGATGGATACACAAGTTTGACTGCAAAATTACTTTCTTTACTCGATATAAACGTTGAGTCATCAAAGTATTTCTAACTCGACCTAATCGAGCAGGTAAAACTCGTATCGTGTTTTGACGACCTATCTTTCGATGAGACATTCAATATTTAAAGTAGAGTTTATTCATGTCAACGTTTAAATCGTTCCTTTGAAGAAAAGAAAATTTTACTTTTTCTTAATGTAGTGGTAGAGTCCAAGTCAATGAGTGGTGCCACCAGATTCATTTCGTAGAAGCCATCATATAAACCAGATACTATGAGCCCCCGAAGTGGTGACAATGTACATGTGCATCCAAACCTAAAATTGGAGTCAGAATTTGTCGATAATCAAGCAAGTTGTAATTTTGGGAGGACCCCAGCTCCATTATTATCAGATTGACAGTACTGACATATGTTTAGATATGGCTAGGCAGGTGAATGTAGCTTAATTATGGTCAAACATATTTGGATTTCTTGTACTAATTGCAATTTATTATCTTACTTCTATAAGTTAATGATTACTAGTACTTTTAAGTTAATCTCGCTCGCAGGGCAGCCACCAGCAATCTTTGGTATTCAAACAAAAATGAAGGCTGCAATTTAGGTAATTGGTCAATCTCCAAAATAGAATTTGACATTTGTCTCCCAATATTCAATACTTCTTCGAGAACAAGTTTAACACTATAATCCCTTTAACTAGTGAATCGGGTCTTGATTAGGATGAACATGAATTCACTCAAATGCTTGAAAAACTCCTTGAAAATTTTATGTTGTTGCCACTTTATATTTGTGTATTTAGTCATGATAGGCATCAATCAACACATACTAATTTGTTGACACATAATTAAGCATGAAATGTATTATAAATGATATTGGGTCTAACTCAACCTAATAAAATCAGATTGTTAGGAGATAATTGCACTCACCTTATTAAGTGGATCGTGTAAATATCATCAACCAATGTGGGACTCTAATAAGCCACATCATGCACAGCATTGGTCATGCCAAACAACAGTAAACAAATCGATATTGGGTGCACCTAACATTGTAAAACTGGGTCTGCTATGATATATACCATATTAGAAAGGATATTGAGTCTAATTTAACCTAACAAAATCGGCTTGTTATGAGAGAATTGCTCTCACCTTATTAAGTAGATCGTGTAAATAGCACCAACCAATGTGGGACTCTAATAGAATCCTACCTTAAAATATTCTTAAAATTGGCTAAATCTCTATAAATTCTCATTAATCTCCCACGCAAATAGAAGTCAATAAAGTAATGAGAAAGACGAAGAAGAATACTATATCATCGTCATAGACGGCTTTTGCAGTTATTTATGTATGCTGAGTCGTTAAACCTAAAAAAACATATCTCAATTTTTTGTTTTCTATTTTGATCTTAATCACGGCAATGTACTCTCATGGATGCTGCTAGTGCTTTATAGAACCCGCTAAGAACGTGATTCTTTTCAAGTCGCTAATATACAAAAAATAATTTTGAAATTTATGTTTGACAAAATGAGTAATTTAAACGTAAATTTTACTCTCTTTTTTAACTGGAATTCAACTTATTTTAAGCACACGTATCATTTATTTGGCAAATAATGCATTTTTGAATAGTGATTGATGAAAAATGTATTATTAAAAAATAAGGAAAAGTCTTGAATTTTCCTATAATATTATTTTATTGAAAAATGTGTGGTTTAAAGGAAGAGAGAGAATAATATATTGTGAAAATAACAGGATCAAAAAGTTTAATAATAGTCTATTTACATTTGTGACATGTATTCAAGCAGACGATAATTGTTGTAACATTAACAGATTTTTATCTCTTAAATTTGGAGTAAAAATAATTAAAAGGGTCAACTAATTTTCACCAAATAATATAATAATTAAGTTATTTGTACATGTACTTTGACATCATTTTTGTCGGATTGGTGATCTGACGAGATTGTGATGATTGGATTAAGGACGTGTTCGGTAGAGATTAAAATCGGATGAAAATTGAAAACTAGCCGTTATTGTTGACTTTTATTAGACGAGTGAGACTCAATAACGATTATATTTTCAATTTTAATAGGATTTTAATCTTTACGTAACGAGCACTAAATATGTAAGATGTGAAAGATGGTGTGAAATAATGTCAATTGTAAATTCAATAAATTATGGTGTAATCAGGACATACGTGTATCAAGATTGATAATATAATATAATTATGATAATCTATGGAAAAGGAAAACTGAGTGGAGGGTGGCGGTGGTTATCCGCAAGACGGAAGAGTGACTCTCAACGGTGGCGTCACCTTATTTTGACCTTTGCTTTTCTGGTTTTTTGAGAAAAATACGGAAGTCAACGAGGAGGGTCCACGCGGTAAGCAGGCGTGCGGGAGCAGGGTCCCATATTGACCTATGAGTCAGAGCCCGAAAGCTACTGTCTAAGCCACAAAATTTCCTATTCTAATCATTTCAATTTAATCAATTTTCCTAGAGTTCACACTTCACCAACTTGTTCTTTATGTTTTTTCTAATAATTTCTAGGAGTTTTGGAATTTGAAATTTTGAATAATCATTAGGTATTCATTCATAACTTGTTTTACCACAAGATAAGGATTGAACGGTATTAAGGCAATGCATTTAGGGAGGTAAATGGAACCATATTGAACAATATAGTCCAATTTCAAAGCGGCTCATATCGAGTTTAAATTCGCATATTTTTTACCCCTTTTTGGATAAAGTTTTATTATTATTATTACACAATTCCGTTGAGTTGTTTCATGCAATATCACAATCAAGTTTGAAACCACCATAGTATACATATAGGTTAACTTAAACCGTTTGAAACTGGACAATCGACACATTTGGACACATCTAACGTGGTTACTTGTCTTTTCTTAAACTTATGCAATATTGTTTAATATATCGTGGATCGTCCCTAAATATATGGTGTATAGACTACAGCCTATAAAGCCTCATATAGGTGAAGGCCACAACCAAAAATATTGATGTTTACAACGTTTATGAGGCTGTCTGGAGCAGATTGTAGTGGGAAAAAAAATTGATTTTCAGACAGTTGGCCATCAATTTAGCTGTGTTTTTTTGACTTTTATTTCTTTCATGTGGGGCCTAGATTGAAAAGCAACGGTAAGAAAATCCCAGTTTTTGAACTTTTAATCGGTGCCAGACAGGCCCTATAAATAAAAAAATCCGTTGTATATATAGAATACCTCATATAAAGTAGGGTTTAGACTCCAAATATCTCAAAATTGTCTCGCCGATCATGAATATTACATGCCAAACATGTCTAGTGTGATTTAATGAAAGTGGAAATTTTGGTTTATACGTTAAACTACAATTTTAATTTGTATTATTGTCATCTAATGAAAGTCAAGACATAATACAAAAGTAGGTGAATGCTGATACGTATTAGAATCAACAGAAATTAAATATTTTAATTCTTTGATTTTATTTTATTATTAAAAACATCTTTAGAATCAAAGAAAAATGAATGTCATAATCCTTTCATTTGAATTTC